GAGCAAGTTAATTCATCTCTCTATAAAATAGGGATAGTGATCATGCCTCCCTCTTAGGGTTGTTATGAAAATAACCAGTGCATGTAAAAGTACACAGTGCCAAGTACACAGGAGAATATTAAGTGTGTGAACTAAAATAAAATCTTTAAGTTGCCCCCGTGGCTGACTGGACCCTCTCTACGCCAAGAGGATCTCTTAAAACTGAGTTGCTAGTCATGAGAAAGGAGATCAGACATGCCTCATCATGTCCCCCTCCCTCCTTAGAGATGTTCTTTGTGATTCATTAACAGGCCTCAGGCTATGCAAGACATGCCTGCAGGTCCTCAATATACACAACAAACCACATGTCTGAGCCTAGAAAATGCAGTTTGTCTCTGATTAACAGACCCTTATCTTAATTCAAGCATTCCTTTTCACTGACTTAGTCTATTAGACCAAAGCCTAACTCTTTCAGCCAATTGTCAGCTAAAGAATCTTTAAACCCACCTATAACTTATAAGCCCTCTTGCTTTGAGATGCCATACCAGTATATGCCTTCCACATATTGACTTGGGACTTTACCTATAATTCCTGTCTCCCTGAAGTGTACAAAACCAAATTTTAACCCCACCACAGCAAGTCCACTTGATTGCACTGGTGTGCTTCTAGGTCATGGTCCTCAAATTTGGCTCAGAATAAACTTCTTTAACTTATTTTACTGAGTATGGCTTCTTTGCTCTTGACAAATGTTAGTTATAACAATAGTGATATTTACTTTTGCCATTCACGTTGATTTACATCTTTCTGAATGCCTAACTTCAGGAACCAAAAATTTTGGAGTCACAAAATGGTTTTTTGGCCCCCAATCTAAAGTAACTCATAAGTTACATTTGTGGATTTTTGGCTTCTCAGGATATAGTGAAAATATGGGTGGCTAGTTGGTACATTTAGGAGTAAGAATTTACCTGTTCTTTAAGCTTTATTCTTTTATTAGTTTTTTGCTTGTTAGTAAGGCATAACCTACCCTACTCTATATTTGGAATTCCATGTGTTTTTTTAATGTAGGTGCTAGAGTATGACAGGGACATCCATAAGGTGATACAGTCTAACTTCTGGGGCAAACAAAACAGCCATCTTGTTTATGAGTGGTAATTTAAAGTTAAGATGGTTTGACTTGGTGAACATATGGTAATATTAATGTGGCTATAAGGACCCTTTAGCACTCTGTATAGGCTTAATAATTTTCAACCTGTTTTCTTGTCAGGAGCAAGAAGGTGACATTTGATTTTCAGTTTATTTTGCCATTTTCATACTTCATACTTCCTCATTAAGTATCTAAAAAAATTAAGGCATTTCAAGAGGAATTAAAATTGTAGAAAACAGGGAGTGGGCAGGGTGGCTCAAGCCTGTAATCCTATCACTCTAGGAGGCCAAAGAGGGTGGATCTCGTGAGCTCAAGTGAGACCCTGTCTCTACTAAAAATAGAAAAAAAACTAGCTGGGTGTTGTGGTGGGTGCCTGTAGTCCCAGCTACTCAAGAGGCTGAGCAGGAGTGTTGCTTGAGCCTAGGAATGTGCAGTTGCGGTGAGTTATAGTGCCACAGCACTCCACCAAGGGCCACAGGGTGAGACTCTGTCTCAAGAAAAAAAAAATACGGAAAATAAGACATGTATTGCTAACACCTATGATTGCATACATGTCTTTTTTTTTTTTTTTTTTGAGACAGAGTCTTACTGTGTCTCCCTGGGTAGAGTGCCATAGTGTCACAGCTCACAGCAACCTCAAACTCTTGGGCTTAAGCGATTTTCTTGTCTCAGCCTCCCAAATAGCTGGAATTACCGGCGCCCTCCACAATGCCTGGCTATTTTTTTGTTGCAGTGTTGTTGTTTAGCTGGCCTGGGCAGGATTCAAACCCACCAGCCTGGGTGTGTACATGTCTTAAAATGATGAGATTATCTTATATGATTATTGATGTCATAAAAGCATATTTGGAAGGAAGTGTCAGACCATTTTGAGAGCATATGGATTGAAAATTAAGATGGTATTGGCTTGGTGCCGATCATGTACGCTGAGGCTGGTGGGTTTGAGGCCATCCCAGGCCAGCTTAACAATGACAACTACAACAACAAAAACAACAATAAAAACAAAGAGAATAAGAGAATAAGTGTTAGTAGGCTAGGGCTGACATAATAACTGGTCTAGTCAGTTTAGGTCCCACTTGACTTTCACCTCCTGCCTGCCATTCTTGTCCTGTAATTTAGCTTCAACCTAAAAATGTTTATCTTGAGTAGTTTAGGGCAACTGATTTAAGAGATTAACTTTTGAATTGGAAATGTAATAGGTCATGGGATATGCCCAATATTATTTTTTATAGGTCAGGGTTTATGCTGATAATTATTTATGATAAGGGTTAATATGGTTTTTTGCTCTCAATTTTATGTATAAAACTGGTTTTGGAAATGGAAGAACAGAACAGTTTTTGAGAGGCTACTCTCACTGTTCTCCAGTTGGGGGACCCGTCCCCTGTTTTTGCATATTAGTTAGACGGACGCCTTTGTCTGTTAATAATTTCAGTTCTGCTTAATTCTTTTTTTTTTCCTTTTTTTTTTATTGAATGGTAACTGTGTACATTGATGCACGTTGGGGGTACAATGTGGTGTTTTCACACACAATCCAAGACACTTCCATCAGACTGGTTAACATAGCCTTCATGTAACTTTCTTAGTTATTATGTTAAAACATTCATATTCTACTCATAGAAAGATTCACTTGTACCTTTGTAAGATGAACCACAGAAGTGAACCCTCGAATCCCTTTCCCTCCACCCTCTCCCCCTTCCTCCCTCCTCCCTGTATCCTTAGGTTGTTACTAGGTTAGTTCTGTTTAATTCTTTTCTCTGTTCCCTTCCTCTGTGTTCATCCATCAGCTCTTTGTCTCTCCTATCTACCCCTTTCTGTTCTGATTCAGGTCATTGAGGACACAATGGAAACAACTCCCTGCCCCCACCACTCCACAGACTGAAAGAGTGCTCCTCAGGGCAAGGGGAGGTGGGTCCTACAAGAGTGGGGAATCTAAACAAGGGGTTTGAATGACCTTGGGGTGGCTGGGGGTGGCTGATGGTGGCTTGTTCCCTTCCAGTCGGTTTCTTGTTTTTCAGTGCCGTTCAGAGTCTGTTCCTTCTACACATGCTCCCACAGATATTCCTAAACTCCCAAGAGCAGTGTACAGAGTGGTCTAATTTACCTAGCTCAAGGAGCCACAGTGTGTCTTTTATGCAAATTATTTCATCCTTCTGTGCCTTTCTCTTCACCTATATCCTGGCATTCTAGTACTTGTTCCAGTATATGTGGAGATTGAATGAGTTAATGCATGTGAAGTGTTTGAGCAGTGCCTGATGTTAGCAATTGATGTTGCTACTTGTGATACAAGAGTGTAATAGTACGTATTTATATAAACTCAGCCCTTTTGTTTAAATGCTCAACTTTTGGCTTAACATTGTGACATTTTATCTTTAATTTCTAATGGATCTGAAGTTATATCTACTTTTTTCATTCCTAAAATTATCTGCTCCTTTTTTTATTTTTCTTTATCAAATTCTATAGACTCCAGTTTAGGCAACAAATTGAGACCTTGTCTCTACAAAAGAGTTTTAAAAGCATCTGGGTGGGTGGCCCATGCCTATCAGGTACTTGTGGCTGAGGCAGGATGATCACTTGGGCTCAGGAGTTGGAGGCAGCAGTGACCTCTGATTGTACTACCGCACTCTAGCCCAGGCAGCAGTTCTGTAGAGTAGCGGTTCTCAACCTGTGGGTCACGACCCACAGGAACTGTATTAAAGGTCTGCAGCATTAGGAAGGTTGAGAACCACTGCTGTAGAGATTAGTCTATTTTATTGGTTTTTTTGAGGGACCTTCTTAGGCATTGTTAATCCTCTATCTTTGGTTTCATTGCCTGCCTTCTGCTTTTTTTAGTTTATTCGGTTATTCTTCCCACTAGCAGTGTCAGTCTCCTTTTTTCTCCCACTTGATAGCAACTATTAATTTCAGTTTCCTTGTAACCACTCCAGATAGGTGTGTGTTTATTTTTTAAGATATTTAACACTTGGTAATAAACTTTAAACAAAAGAGCAGCCTCAGAGTTAGCACCTTCAGCAGACATTAGTATGTATGTATTCAGAAATTAATGACATTACTTTGTTTTCCTTGTATTTACATTTTTCAATTTATGTATAGCTGAACTGACTAATTTTTGGTCTTCATATTTTGGAGTGTTAAGACATGTAGTGCTAAGATAAATAGTCCCCCCTTATCCATGGGAGATGCAATCCAACACCCCCGGTGGAAGACTGATACCATAGATAGTAAGGAACCCTATCCATACATGGTTTGCCTATGTGTATATACCTGTGATATGGTTTATTTTATAAACTAGACACAATGAGAGGTTAGTAGTAACTAATAATAAAATACAATAATAACAGCATTTCAGCATCATTACTTTTATGCCTTGGGAACTTCATTAAGTAAATAAGCCTGGTAGCTCATGGCTATAATCCTAGCACTTTCAGAGGCTCAGATGGGAGGATTGCTTGTGCCCAGGCGTTTCAGACAACTGTGAGCAGCACAGTGAGACTGTATCTCCACAAAGATAAAAACGTTAGCTGGGAGTGGTGGTACATGCCTATAGTCCCAGCAGCTGGGGAGGCTAAAGCAGGAGGATCATAGGAGCTCAGGAGTTGGAGGCTTCATTCTGCTTTGATCATACCACTGCATTCCAGTTTGGGTAACAGAGTGAGACCCTGTCTCAAAACAAGGAGTAGAATACAAATGACTAGTGGCCTTCCCCACTCCATCCTCCTGCTATGATATTAAGTGTGTGGTTCCATTGGGGAAGATGTAGGTAAAGGGTGAATGATGTCTTCATGTTTTTGAGGTTTAAAAGACAAGGAGGGTGTTGCTTGTTTACTTACTGCTTTATATACCTGTTAAAGTTTAACAAAAAATTTTTTTTCTTTCTATCAAGCCAAACTGGCAAGACGCAGTCAAGAACGGGACAATCTTGGCATGTTAGTCTGGTCGCCTAATCAGAATCTGTCAGAAGCAAAATGTAAGTCTTATAGCACCTTTATTTTCCACATTTCTTTTCCAACTTTCTTACTTAATGTACAGTTAGTTGTAAAGGCATCTTTATAGCTAAAAGTTCCTACATATACAGAGTGGCCATAGACAACTATTTAGTAGACAACTAAATAATTTGAAGAGTAAGTATGTGTTTCACTACTGTGCTCTGTCATAATGAATTAGAGATTCCTAACACATGGTTTCATAATATTCCATGATTTTCAAAATGATGCATAAGGTGAGGTGTGCTGGCTCATACCTATAATCCCAGTTCTTTGAGCGCTGAAGGCAATATGATCACTTGAGGCTAGAAGTTCAAAACCAGCCCGGGCAACTAGCAAGACTATGTCTCTATAAAAAAATAGAAAAATTAGCTGAGCATGGGAGTATACCTATCATTTCCCAACTACTTGGGAAGCTGAGGTGGGAGGATCCCTTGAGCCCAGGATTTCAAGGTCACAATGAGCTACAGTTGTGCCACTACACTCTAGCCTGAGTGACAGAGTGTGAGATCCATGTCTCCTAAAAAGAAGAGGCTCAAAATGAAAAGAAAATTGTAATGCAGCATATAACTTCTTCAGCTGGGACTTTATAGATTTTTTTTTGTAGAGACAGAGTCTCACTTTATTGCCCTCCATAAAGTGCGGTGGTATCACACTGCTCAGAGCAACCTCCAACTCCTGGGCCTAGGTGATTCTCTTGCCTCAGCCTCCTGAGTAGCTGGGACTATAGGTGCCCGCCACAACGCCCAGCTATTTTTTTGTTGTAGTTTGGCTGGGGCTGGGTTTGAACCCACCACCTTTGGTGTATGGGGCCAGCACTCTACCCACTGAGCCATAGGCACCACCTGGGACTTTATAGATTTATAAAGATGAATTGAACAAGTTTTAATTTGAAGATTACAAAGGCTATATATATGTCATTGGAAATAGGCCTTATAATATATAGCACATGAGTCTAACTGGAAATATAGTTTCTGAATTGGCTATTGGGCATTGTTTAAATATTCTGAGCTATGTTGAATTATCTTTTAAGGGTGGGGTTCTGTAGCCATTAATCTTCTGTTTTCTCCTATCAAATGTTCCCATGCGTGATTAATTTTATATGTATTACTATATGTTTTTGCCTTTTTTTTTTTTTTTTTTT